ATAGACTCTAATTCCTTGTTAAACTGGTCATTCATGCTTTATATAATTATGTTTAGTTCAGTAGGCTTTTCATTAGTACTTTCTGTAAACTTGCTGATCATTTTATTTATTATGACCATTATCTGTTAGGTATATTTTCTTTGAGCTTGCTGACCACCTTATTGATCTGTTTTAAAAAATCCTCTCTGTTATCTTTCTGAGTAATTTGGCCACCTGGCATTTTATTTCTCCCCCTTCAATGTTCCATGTATCAGTTTTGAAGAAGTTGGGAGTTTTGGGAAGCCTTTTGTTGGTTTCTCTTCTAGTGTTTCTATAGTTTTTCTTTTTCTTCCTAAGGTCTGTGGGTTAATTGTCATGGAGACTTTGTCGCAGTATGGCACTCTCTGTAGCTAGTGTCTGCTTTTCAGTGTTGCACTCTGGGCATGGGTAACTGTAGGACTTTGCCTCTATTCCAAGATCCAACCACCTTCATGTGTTTGGGAGGGGAGGATGCAGTATGTTTGTCCCACCACCCAATTTTCTGGGAATGGGCCACAGTATTGTTAATGACACAAAGGCTCTCCAGATATTGGCATAGAGAAAAAAAATTAATAGGAACAAATGTGCCACCTTGGCAATAACAATAATTCAGCAATAATAATAGCATCAGAAACAAACTGGATATAGATATAGTCTGAGAAACAATAATGTACCATCTTAACCATGGAACAGAAATCTATAATTATAGTATAAACCAGTGATCGTGAATCTTTGGAGACTGAGTCCCTGAATTACAACTCAAAACCTGCTTATTTATTGCAAAATGCCAACACTACCATTAAATCTGGACACTGGGGTTTTAATTTAGAAAAAATAACTGATATGTTAACATCCTTGTCTTAAAAGAAAAGCACAGTAACAGAGCTTTCAGTGATATAAATAACTTTTTATTGAAAGGTAGAAGTTTCCATTTGGCATGCTTTTGCACAATTAATGTGATCTTTGATGTATGCATGCTGATAATTTGTCAAACTTGGCTGGGCAGCTTGGTCTGCATGCCAACAGAGAGCATTCTCTGTGCCTGCTTTGGCAAGCAGACCATAGGCCTGCCATCATTAGTATAAATGCTAAGACAAACCAACTATTAACATAGAGCAAGTATCCACTGAATGCAACTATATCTCTGCCTATAATAGAACAACATTCAACAGTAGTAACATAGAATTAACTATCTAAAGATTCATAAAGCTTAATGATCCCACTAGTAAAGATAGAGGAGACAAGGAATGGCAGAATAAAAGAAGCAAAATTTGAGAAATTAATCAATGGAAGATGTGGAGGAGAGAAAAGTGAAATAGAGGATTCTAATGAAGAGTGAGAAGAAATTGATAGTATAAAATTAAAATAACTGAAAAGAACAAACCAGTAAAAGAAGAAAAAAGAAAACATAAAGCAAAATAGAGGAAAGAAAAAAAAATAAGAAAAAAAAGTTAGTAAGAGAAAAGACAAGAAGAAAAGGAGATACAAACCCCAACACCCCAAAAAACAAATGAAAAAAAACGAGAGAAACAAAATACACTGAAAAAATAGTCCTCTGTGTTTTTGTATATGTGCTGCTGAAGCAGGATCTTTCTCTATATTTCTGAAGGAGTGGTTTCTTCCCAGGAGCTTTACTCTTACAATCCAGCAAGTCATGATTTTCTTCCCTTAGCTTTAAGGCCTGTGTTCCCTGTGCTCCAGGAGCCCTGCTGTCCATATATAACAGATTGTGGCAACTATCCAAGCTGAGGTGGGTCCTTTCTCATGTTCGTAGATAGGAAAAGCATTCAGACCACTGGTCTCTGCTGAATGTAGGTCACAGAGTGGGGTTTCCAGCAGATTGTTGGACTTAATACCAGCACATGCAGATGCAGCCACTTCTGTAAACCACATTCAACTGGCCTATTTTCTCACTGTGGAAGGCAAGGCCTGTGTCCTTCCCAGCCTGAGCTTTAACTTCTTAGGAAGCTATGTCTAGCCTGTATCCAATCCATGGCTACCTCCCATAGCTATCTCTTATCCAGTCACTGTGGGTAGGTACCACTAGAAACACTGAAATGGAATTGTTTTGTGGCTCAGTTAAACAATTAACCCATTCCCAAAAAAGAGCACCTGATTAAACAGTCTCTGGCAAATGGCAAGCACTGCACTGGGTTTCTCTTCCAATTCTAGTGTGCTGTGAAGGAGTCACTTTCAGAGTATAATCCTATGCTAGTTTTGTAGTTTACAATTGGTGTGGGCTTTTCTTGGGGCTAGTGCTGCTGGCAAGTTTAGTAATTTTTCCTTGGATCTGCTGGCTCTCCAACATTACCTTCTCTCCTTGGGCATTGGCCTCATCCATGATCAGACTGGTCATTTGGTGCCTCTACTCTCCTATGCTGAGGGGAAACAAAACGGAGATGGCAGGTGATTGGAATCCATGGGTGTGAAGTTTGTTGAGGATGAATATGTGGCTCCATTGTCCAAGGGATATGGTTTTGTTGTCCAGATACTTCTTGTTGAAAAAAAAAATTGGTCTACTAAATGGAAGTCCTCTTGACAAAGGAAACCAGAGCAAACCAAGCTTCCAGGCAGGTAAATACAAGAGGAATCACAAGAACAGTCACTGTATTTCCTCACATTCACCATTAACTAGCAAATTCATGTAACCAAAGTAGACTTCAGAGGATGACATCTGTATTCATCTTCTCAAGGTGTAGCTTTTAGTTTTCCCTAAACTGTTTGTTTTTAGTAAGAGCTAGTTGGAAATAGAGTGTTCAAGAAACTGATTGTTAATAAATATAACAAATACTAATCTCCATCATGTAAAGAAATCAAGGTCCATGGACTCAGGGGAATTTCTGAGCCTTCTGAAATTGAATGCAAGCTTTTTTGTTTCATAGCCTCCTTTCCAGCCTAGTCAAAGGTGTGGGTGAATGGTTACTTGAAAACCACAAAGCAGGTAACTATGAAGTATAATTCATATCTAAGTATTTTACTTTGACTGAAAACATTATATTTACCATATTTCTTAAAATGTATATTCATTCACCATATAAAGCAGTTATTTTACTTTGAATGTAGTTTGGCTTATTAGAGATCCTTGTCTTCCTGGTACAAACTATAACCATAATTAATTGTCCAAGGTTTTAGTTATGGTATCTATGATGATTATCTATTGCTATGTAACAGATTACTCCAAAACTTAGCAGCTTAAAACAAAATCAGTTTTAAAATTTTTTTATGGCTTCCCTGGGTCAGACTTGGGAAAGGCCTGTCTGAATAGTTCTAATCCAAGGTTTCTCTTGAGATTGTAGTCAGTGATGGAAGCGGAAAGGGCTGGGGTTGTACTACTTGTTGGTCACCCAAGCATTCTTCCCCCTTTATGTACTTTCAGAGCTTCTCCACATTTCTCGAGCTTGGTTGGGCCTTCTTACAACGTGGTTTCCTTAAGCAATTGGCCTGGTGCTTTCAGGTGAAATGTGGCCATTAATAACCTAACATCAAATTCGCATACTGCCACTTTCATCACATTCTGTTGACTATAAGCTAATCACAAGTCCCCCTGGATTCAAAAGGAGAGGAGTTATATTCGACTTTTTGATAGAGGAAATAGGCAAAGTCCTATAAGTGTGGTTGGGTAGCATATAGTGTTGTAGCTGTCTTTTGAAAATATAGTTTGTTGGGCTGGGGATTTAGCTCAGTGGCACAGTGCCTGCCTGGCAAGTGTGAGGTCGTGAGTTCAATTCCTAGTACTGGAAAAAAACAAAAACAAACAACAAAAAAAGAAAATATAGCTTGTTATAGTCTTTAAAGTAGAGCAAGAACCAAAACCTACTCACGAAGGAATCAGAGTACAAATTCCATGTGAATGTTATTACAATTTTCCTTATTTTTAATAGATAACCAGGAAGAAATTATTATAGTTATTTGATGCTAGGCATTATAAAAATATATAACTGTTAGGAAAAGGTTATGTCTGCACTTTTGAACCTTGGAATTTACCCAAAATATTGGACAGAAACAAAAGAATTTGTTACTTTAAAAATAAATAAACAACATAAACACATAAAACCAAAAAAGTCCACTCCTCTGTAACAAACAAACAAAGCAAAGCAAAAAATCTAATCCTACACAAACCATACTAAAATAAAATTTAAAAAAAAAACCTGGGCTCAGTGTTAGAATAAAATTAATCGGCATTCAGCAGCGTGATGGATTATAAATGATAATTATGAAAAGTATATCAAATCATAGAAGACTTTATATACTAAACAATAGATGTAAACCCAGTGTTTGCTACTTCATAAAATATTTTTTACATACAGAAGCAGATATGTAAAAAATGAGGTTATTGAGATGGCTGATAAGTATAGGTAAATATAACTGAAATATTTGTTAAAAATAAATATAAAAGAAATATTTGTTAAAAGTTAGTTACTATTTAATTTTCAATAAAAATGTGAGATACTAAATCCTATTTTTGAAATTATCTATTGTCATTTTAAAATAAATTTGTTCTCTAAAATATATTACAACTTAAAATACATGAGATTTTAAATTGTAATTTGCTTGTAGCACTCTTATACTGACTACTAGCTGGACCCCATTCATGAACACAGGTGAATATACCAGAGAAAAGTGCATTTCAGAACCAAATTCTAAGGACATACATAAATTGTTTCAGAAGCCAATTTTTGCTCTAGAGGAGGATGCATTGCATGTGGTTTTTCAACTATGTTTTTGGGTAATTTTTCTATATTAAAAATATCCACAGCTATTGGCAGCTATTGAGGAAGAGTCTTGTTAGGTGCTTTCCTTTGTACAAATGGTTCCTACTCCCTGAAGTAATCTCTGCAGTTGCTCTTGCCTTTGGATAGGGGGCCTAAGAGAGCTCCCAGGGTTGGAGATCTCCGAGAATTTTGCTTATTGGAGTGCATCACATTTGTGAGCCCAACTTCCCTAAGGCTGATTTGTCTATGCTATTTTTTGAAACATTGAAGGCTATAGATTGGTGTCCCTGGCAGTCTAAGGTCCTTGCTATTGGAGGAGGAATGAAGGATGGATGCCTACATGTTTTGGACATAAGTAGTGGGAAGAGCATTCAGACTCCAAGCACAAACTCACAGGTAAACTTCTCTTCTGGAGTCTGCCTTCATCCTGATCTTCTAGAATTTTTTTTTTCTTTTTTTTTTTGGTACTGGTAATCAAACTCATGACCTTGAGCTTGCCAGGCATGCGCCATGCCACTGACCTACATCCCTGGCCAGAATCTTAGAAAAATAATTTATGATAGAGCATATTACTCAAACATGTTTCTTACCCTCCTGACTCTATAAGGAATTCCGGTTCTGAAGAGCTTCTTTTTTTGGGGGGTAAGAATCTGTTAATCTGTGATTCCAAAATTGATTTTTCTCTTCCCTCCCTCCCTGTATCTCTCCCTCCCTCTCTCTCTCTCTCTTTTCTCTCCTCTCCCCTCCTTTCTTCCCCTCCCCTCCCTTCCTTCCATCTCTTGCTCCTCTTCCCTTTTGCAAAGGCTCAGCTCCCTGGGTCCCGCTATCTGTCTTCCGTCTTGCTCCTTCCCTTCCCTCCTTTCCCCTCCCCTTCCCTTCCCTTCCCTTCCCTTCCCTTCTCTTCTCTTCTCTTCTCTTCTCTTGCCTTCCCCTGTCTTCTCTTTTTTCTGCATTTGTCCTCTTTCTCACTACTGCTTCAACTTGAAGTTGAAGTCTGGCCCATTTCAGTCTGTAAAGCTGAAGAATAGTCTGGCTATTTCTGGCCCATGATCATAGTTCACTTAAATTTACTCATTACACCTATACCTGTTTGTCTAATTCTTCCTTTGCTGGCTTGGGATAAATGTTATCAGAACTAATATAATTCTCCTAAACCCCCATTCCAGCTGTGACTGGAGGATGAGTAGTAGACAGAGTGTACTTTCTAGAATCAACTTAAATACATTCATAATGAATCTGAAATTGCTAAAATTCTATATTTTATGGTCATTATTGCAGATTTGTTCCTTACTCTGGCTACCTAAGACACAGGAGATTGCAACAGGCCAAGGTGCTCCACAGAATGATGTGACTCTGTGGACCTGTCCCACTCTGTCCAGGTCCAGTGGGTTTCTGGGTAAGTGGGGGATAAAATGCCATGTTACCTGTGGCAAAGTGAGCTGTCATTTATGGAACAGTCCCTAAGGGAAAGAATTTTCTTCTGCTGCCCTACACCCTCCCCACCTCACTGAGTATCTAGGTGAGTGTTTCTGAATTTGACTACACTTGTGTATCACTTATCTCCTTGCATATGTGTATGGATTATACAGGGGTCATCTTGGGCAGCTTTTGAACTCCAGTTCAGTTTTGAACTCATCTTATTTTGAAAAAAATACAGCAACATGGAAGACGAGGAGACAGTTTAGACATTGTTATATGTGTGAAGGTCACTAACAATCATGAGGCTTCTTCTGTGAACATCCGTCCTTTGAAAGCATACTGATACTCCTTTTTTTTGGTACTGTGATTGAACTCAGAGCCTGTGATTGCTAAATTTGTGTTCTACCACTGAGCCTGGATTACTATTCTCTCTCAATTTAATTCTACAAACTTTTTTGAATTCTCCTTGAAAGTAAGGCCCATGATGGTAAAGGCCCAAACCCTTTCCTCAGAAGCTTAAATTTGGAGTGCTTGTTAATAGTATATATAGAAGGGTAAAAATGGAAAAATGCATGTTACTTTGTGAGATTTTTGTTATTTATATGTGGTATGTATACATGCCCAGCTATAGGGCTACAACATAAAATATAGCTTTGACTGTGGGTTGGGGTCAGGAAGTTTGGAAAAATGCTATCCTAGATATGATCATATCTTTACTAAGCCTCACCCTGTTTACCAGAGTCATGATTCTTTGGGGGAAAATTTTAAAGAGGTCTCATCGACCTCACTATGGAAAAAAAAGATAATTTATAATTGTTCCTACCTACAAGGTCATTGTAATTTTTGATCTTTAAATGGAGTAGTTAACTTTGTAACTTGCAGGTGAGACCTGGCCTTTGAGTTGGCTTGATCAGTCCCCAGCAAATGTGTCAATTTGTGGCCTCATTTAGGACAGCACCTGCATGAAGAACACAAAGCTTTCATGGCTTCCAGTGCTCTTAGAATTGGGGAACTTAAGCCCAAAAGGGGACATTTGCCCAAGATAAGGATGACATTTGCCACTGTCCAGTAAGTTAGGTTGTCACTGATGTGAGAAGAGAACTTCAGGAAGACCTTTGCTGATCTAGGAATATAGCTCAGCAGCACAGCATCTGCCTGGTAAGTATGAGGTCCTGAGTTCAATTTCCAATAGAAAAAAAAAAAAAGAAAGCCTTTGCTTCACTTTAACATACATGATAGAAAGTGAAAAGAAAAAAGAAAGTGAAGTATTTTTTGCTTGTTAGTCTCAGTCTCTGCTGAGACTCTTACGGTATAAGGTTATGTCTCAAATTCCTGCTCTAAATTGAATTAAAAAAGACTCTTTCCTTGGGCTTAATTTGAAAGTAGTATTTTAATACAGGGTGTAGAAATGTAAATGTAAAGAACCACGTGCCTGGGGCTCCCTGGCAGAAGTCAATGCAAATGTCTGAGTTTTTGGTAAGAAGATTTCTAAGTAACCATTTTCTCTGTGAACCTAGGACTGCAAATATATTAATATTTCCATAAGAGAACTTTGTGCCCAGTAACACAGGAAAGAAAGTAGCAAGAATATTTAGAGAACAAGGGAGGAGTATCTTAGAATTATCCTTTGTTTAGCCCTTAAAAATAGCTAAAATGGTACTTGCTAATTAAACAGCCTATTAAGTATACACATTTTCTATTTCTGAAGAGTTACTTCTTGCTTCTAATGAAAAGTTAACTTTCTTATATTTGTTTTAGTGTAGTTAAAATGAACAAGTTAGATGGATATACTAACAAAATTAGATTTTAAAATAAACTGTTTAAAACAATTTAAAAGCATTAGCATAATATTTTGTGTTTATTATTTGAAAACAACTATATCAAGTTGTTTTTCATTTAAATTTTAAATTAGAAAAATAGGCAGTGGCTCTCAAGAGAGATTCTTCTTTGCTCTGGAGGTAGAGTTTGATCTAATGGTTAGAGAACCAACTAAGACTCTAGCTCTGGCTCATGCCATTAATTAGCTGTGTGATTTTGTGCAAGACATTTGATATCCCTAAATCTTTTCATCTATAAAAGAAGGGGACTGCATTGTTTCTATGTGTCTAACTTTATTTACCAACATCCCTAGGGCCAATCCCATGTTCCCCTTGGGGGATCTCTTATTGATCTCTTATTGATGTGTGTGTGTGTATTGTGTGCATGCAATGTGTGTGTATTATGTGCACACAGATAGACACAGAGTATTAGAACTGATATGTGTATTTGGGAAAAGTCCCCAAGTGGCTAAAATATGTCTCCTTCAGGAGTGAAATAGTAAACACACTTCTGGTGAGACTCTTACAGTATAAGATTATGTCTCAAATTCCTGCTCTAAGTTGAACTGTAAGCAGTACGGGTCCTGTGAGGAGGTGACCACCCACCTGATTTGATTTTAGTTGTGCCCCCAAATGCCTTCCAATTCAAAATCTGTCTGACATCCACCATCCTCCCAGCCCCAGCCTCATTTTGTGGGATCATCTTTGCCCATTTGGGCCTAAAGTTTGCATCACTGAAGTGATTATCAGATTAGGCTAGGTTTTTTTCAGAGCATTTTCCAAGGTACATCAGTCCCTTGAGATGTCAAATCAAGAGGATGATGTAGTCAAATAAGTCTGAGAAATGCTGCCTCTTATAGTCTCGTCTCCAAAACAGTTACAATGCACATAGCATTCATAAAAGTAAGAAGTCCTGAAATAAGGAAACATGTTTAATTTTATGAACTCAGAGCTCCCAAATAATGTGAACATTAAATGGTCTATTCACTGTTACTATCTGTTAACCTCACCTAAAGCTATTGTGCTACAGAATGTTCTTTAGGAATAATTAATAAAATAACAGGAGGGACATTGTTCCTGTAAGTTCATAAGTGAGACTCATGCATGCTCTGTGGGAGTGTTTTGGGTCCTACTGTGTTAAGGTGCATCAGTTTTCTGATTACGTAGTTTCTTGGAACCTGAGTCCTTCAGGGATGGTTTTGAGGGGCAAGATGGGAATGGGTGGCAGGCACCCAACAAAGGCATTCCATATGTGTTGGTAGCTTAACAGCAAATAGAGTTAATAGCGATATGAGGCTTGAATGGTAAGGTAAATAGGGAGGCTAAAAAAATAGCCTCTCTAGAGATATCCATGGTAAGTGTCTAAAGCCTGTGAAAATGACCTAATTGAAACAAAAGGTTTGAAGAGATAATTAAATTAACGTTCTTGAGATTGTCTTGGATTATTCAGGTGGGCCCTAAATCCAATGACAAGTATTCTTATAAGGAAAACAGGAGCAAAGACACACACAGAAGAGGAAGTGACTAGGAAGCAGAGATAAGTATGTAGTTTCAAATCAAGGATTGTCAACAACTGCTGGAAACCAGGAGAGGCGAAGCACAAAATCTTCCCTATATCTTCTTGTTTTCCCATCTTCATATTGGGAAAGCATGTTTCCCTTGTTTTTAGCCACGTGCTTATGGTCATTTGTTATGGGAGCCACAGATGCTGTGGGGCAAGAGCACTGGGGGAGAAACGCTGAGCGCAAGGTCAGCCACTGGGAGTGATGCGTGAGGCAGGTAGGGGAAGCCCTTCATCCTGGGACAGGATGTGGGACCACATTTCTGGCTGCTTGTACTCCTCAGGAATTGTGCTTGAATGTGGAAACCCACTATGTTCCTTCTTCTTCCAGGCCACAAAGGCAGAGTGCTGCACCTGGCTTTGAGTCCAGACCAGACTCGGGTGTTTTCTGCTGCAGCAGATGGAACAGCTTGTGTATGGAAGTACCGCCGGTCACCCAGCGCCTCCTAGTTTCATTGCTAAGAGAGGACAACGATAACAGCTTTTCTTCTCCATGTGAAAATGAGTATCAAATGTGATGAAGCGCTCTTCCCAACGTGAATGGCTGCTCTCTGACCTTTTTTCTCAGTCTTTTTTATTCACTGGTTTCTCCCACTGCATTTCCCAGAGATTGTTTTGGACTTCTTTTTCTTTCTCTCCCTCCTCTTTTCCCTTCCTTTTCCCACCTTCTCCTCTTCTGCCTTCTGCTCTTTCTATTCCTTCTTAAAGATTCATTTTCACTGTTTTAATCAGAATAATATCTATAGCAAAGATTTTTAAATACTTCTTTCACATCTGATGCTTCTAAATTCTAACCTCATATTTTGGACGCCTCGGGATATTTCCTTTTTCAGACCCTTTACCATCGTTAGATCAAACTCAGAATGTTGAAAACATAACTCATTCCCTTGAGAGACATTTGTTAAAGTCCTCCTATATGCTATATGTTCTATAAGCATGCTTATTCTTTTCTCTTAAAATGAGCTATTCTGTAGGTTCCATTTCCCCTCTGTCTTAGTCTGTTTTCTGCTGCTATAACAGAATACCCGAGGCTGGGTGATGTGCAAACAATAAAAGTTTATCTGACCATGATTCTGGAGGCTGAGATGTCCAAGAGCATGACACTGACACCTGGTAGGGGCCTTTGTGCCATGACATCCTATGGCAGAAGGCAAAAGACAGGAGAGCATACACAGGAGACCAAGAGGGCAAAAGAAGATCTCTTTTGTAACAAGACTACTTTCATGATAACTAACCTACTCCCATGATAATGACATTAATCTGTTCATGGATTTTTGTTAGGCTTCAACTTTTATTAGGCCTGATCTCCCAACACTATTGCAGTGTGGATTAAGTTTCCAATACATACACTTTGGGGATACATTTGAACTACTGCACTCTTAATGGGTTCATCCTTATCCTGGTCACCCAGCTTCCTGAGTATTCCATCCCATTCTTCCTTGGTTTAGTCCTTGTTCTCCTTTATCTAGGCATGTCTGGATGTATAATGGCCAGTCTGTTCTAAATGCTTTCTAATTAATTCTCTTGTCTGTAGTGTATTGCTAGGTTACATCTCTGAAAGCACTGTGCTAATGCCATCAGTCCCTGCTCATAAACTCTCAGTGACACTCTATTACTTAAACCCCTGGGCATCAAACTCTGGAGTACTGATCCCAGGACCCGAAATTGAGGCTCCTATTCTTGTCTCAGTGCCACCCTAAAAAAGATTGCAGCATCTTCAAGAGTGTGATTTGTGCTGGGTCACTGCTAAGGCTCCTTCGAATTTGCTCAGTCCATTGTTCTGTCTGTTTAATATTAATTCCAACTCATTGTCTACATTAATTCTTGGCTAAATCTTTTGATTTTCTGCCTTGGTACCTTTTGAGAGGATTTTCCTGGAGCCTGGAATTGTTACTCCTTTTTTCCTTTTCTTTACATATCTGTAAAAATCTTAACCTCTCCAGGAGGTATTTAAAAATGTTGTTGCCTAGATTTGATGTTTATCCATTTAGACACTTGCCATTAGCCTGTATTGCTTATTTGATATTAATGTGCTATGGTAGATATTTCCTAAATCTTATATTTTCATGTGACTATTTGATTACTTTTGTATTAACATGCTTATTTGTTGCCTGGACAATTAAACTGAGGTGTTGAGAAAGCACCAGTTAGATACTTTGGTGCTCCTTAGAATGTTATTATGTGTATCCCAGCTAACAAATATGGATTGATTTATTTGCTTTATCATGAAACCTTTACAAATCAATGTATATTGAATTAGGACTGTCTTGACAAATTAGTATTAATTTGCCAATAAATTATTACCTTTCTTGTTTTTTTTTTAACTCAGAAAATGTGCTTGATGCTAGTAGTTCTTTTCTTAGAAATTTTCAAGCCAATAAATGCTGCAAATGTCATATATTACAGTGCACACTTTTAAAAAAGCTAACAGTGTGTTGTGGTGCCAAGGATTGAATCTAGGGCCTTGCATATGCTAGATGAACACGCTACCATTACCTGAGTGCAAGCTAATAGTTCTAATATGACCTTTTTTATTTTAAAGAGAAAATGAAATAAAATAAGAACAACAAAGATAAAAACAAAATAACACAAAAACAAAAATGTTACAGAATTTCAAAATAAGATGACAAGAAATTAACAGTGGACATTATATTACATATTGTTATCTTCAACAAAGTTGCTCAGATTACCAGATGTAAAAATGCAACATTGATCATACAATTAAAGAGAATAAAAAATAAAAAAATAGGAACAATACAGAGTTTCACTAGTCAAGATGGCAGGAATTCAGTCATGATTGTTATATTGCATATTGTTATCTTCAAATTAGTTGTTCAGGTTACCAGATATAAACATGCAAAATTGGTCAAAAAAAGACCTAAGCATTAACTGTTCATTTCAATAAACCAATAGATACCAGCAGTTCAATTATCCCAGCTATACTTCTATATACATATATGTTTTTTTCCCTTCCTTCAGCCTTTCTTTCTTTCTTTTTTTTTTTTTTTTGGTTTTTCTCCGGTACCAGGAACCGAACTCATGACCTTGCACTTGCCAGGCAGGCACTTTGCTGCTGAGCTAAATCCCCAGCCCCTCCTTCAGCCTTTCTTTTCTCCTTTCTTTCATCCCAGTTGTTCCTTCCTTTTGTGCAGTTCCTTTCCCTTTCACAATATCTATTGTACCTTTTGTTGTTTAATTTACTCTTTCAGGTTCTTGTCTCTAGGGAGACAATATGATGTTTATACATGTGAGTCTGATTTATTTCATTTATGTGTATGGTTTCTAGTTGCATCCATTTATCTATAAAAGCATCAAGTTTATATTTTTGATAGCTGAATAATACTCCATTGTATAAAAATACATATTTTTTATCCCTTCCTCAGTTGATGGGCATTTGGGTTATTTCCAAGATTTAGCTATGACAAATTATGCTGCTGTAAACATGGGTGCACACATATCGCTGTGGTATGATGTTTTCAGTTCTTCTGGAAGAATACCTAGAAGGGGAATAGCTTGGTTGAATGGGACCTCTAATCCTTGTTTTCTGAGAAATCTCCACACTGATTTCCACAGTGGTTGTACCAGTCTGCACTCCCACAAACAATGGAAAAGGGTTTTTCTTCCCCACAGCCCCACCAGCATTTGTTATTGGTTGATTTCTTGATGATAGCCATTCTTTCTGGGATGAGATGGAATCTCAGTGTTGTTTTAATTTGCATTTATTGAATGACCAATGATGTTGAACATTTTCTTATATATTTATTTGCCATTTGTATTTCTTCATCTAAGAAGTGTGTACGCATCTCAGATGCCCATTTTTGGATTGGGTCTTTGGATGTTTGGGGCCTGATTTTTAGAAAATTCTTTATATGTTTTAGAGAGAAGTCCTTTGTCTGAGGGACAGTTGGCTGAAATTTTTTCCAATTTCATGGGTTTTCTTTTTACTCTGTTGATGATTTCTTTTGATGTGTAAAAACTTTTCAATAAGATGAGATCCCAGTTGTTGATTCTTTGAAATACTTCCTATGCAATTTGGTTTTTGTTCATGAACTCTACCTATCCTTATGACTTCAAGATTTCTACCTACTTTCTCCTCCAGTAGATTTAATGTTTCTGTTTTAATATTTAGATCTTTGATCCATTTTGACTTAAGTTTAGTGCATGAGATAGACATGTGTCTGATTTTAGTCTTTGGCATGTAGAAAGCCAGTTTTTCAGCACTATTTCTTAAAGAAACT